AAAATACCTATGGCTACGTAGGGTCCTCCATTTCAAAGGGGATATTTTTTGTATACAAGTATTTGGGAACCACTGGCCTATGGCTACTCTTAATGGAGAAATGTTATGGTTTCATTTATTTTTATTATTCTGATTTCCATACACTGGGTTTAAGATTTGGAGAGCATGACATAGTAAAAATGGCCACAGATTCTTTGAGAAGAATCTGGGTAGGCTCTGACACAGCTTTGATAAATGAGTATGGTACTGGTTATGCTGTACCCATTTCTTGGCCAGTTTCTACTTCCTTTTTTATTGCAAGCTCTTTGGAAGCCAGGGTGGAGAGGCTTCTTGAAAGGTGTCAGGAATAACAGTGAAATCGTCATGGAGCTTCAAGATCTGTTCCATCTCCGCTTAAAACCATAGGAGAACCCTAGTCAAGGATTAATGGAGCGGATGAACTTTCCAGGCAAACCCTGCCTGAGTTTCTGATCCATAAAACTGTGAGAGATAATAACAGGTTGTTGTTGCATGCCTCTAAGTTATGATGAATTTTGTTCTGCAGGAATGTATGAAGTGGAGGGCACAAGATAACCCTATTGCTATATTAGCTTACTTTCATCTATATATAGGGTTTTGTTTTTACCTTTGGAGACAATGAATTAGAGAACCAGCAGAAAAATGGGTAGTAATCATCCAGTGGAATAATGTGCTAGCATAATACTTACTGGAAGAGCATAAATTATGTATCAGCTATTATGCACCGTATATTTTACCTAATAAACTCAGAGCAATTTAGGGATTTCTCTTAATTTATAAAACAATATACTTCCTAGTATTTAGAAGGGAAATGGATAGAATTTTTGAGCTGAATATATAATAGAGGCAACAGGCACTGAGATATTAAATGAATTGCTTAAATTCCTACCACAGTGGGTCAGTAACATGTTCATGCACAGAACTAGATCACACAGACCAGTGGTCTTTAAACCTATTTGATTGTATTTCATGGTAATCAGTGCATTTTATCTGACCCTGGTACACACATACATATAACTCTTCATGACTTTACCTTTCCTGCCTTACCTCTATTATGTGTAATACACGCTAAGGTTTTTTTTTTGTTGTTTTTTTTTTGAGTTGGGGTCTCACTCTGTCATCCAGGCTGGAGTGCAGTGGCATGCTCATTGCCACCACAGCCCCAATCTGCTGGGCTTAGGTGGCCTTCCAAGTAGCTGGAAATACAGATGTGAGCCATCATGCCCAGCTAATTTTTTGATTTAGTGGTCTCACCATGTTGCCCAAGTTGGTCTCAAACCTGTGGGCTTAGGCAATCCTCCAAAGTGCTGGGATTACAGGCGTGAGCCACTGTGCCCGACTGGTTTTCTGTTTTTTAATTCATAACATATTTTTTAAACAGTGGTCAAACATAAATAAATTTCACTGTGGATTGTAATAATTGCTCACAATCCACAGTGAAAAATACTGACCTAGACACTAAGCTTCATGGGGCCAGAGACTCCGTACTGTTCATTACTGTGCATACTGTGCAGACATTTCTGGCATTGAGTAGGTACTCAAGAATTTAACGAATGCATTTTATGACAACATTCCAACTTATTAAAGTGGGAAGGTTTTTAACTGTAAGTCAAGAAATCCAGGGTCAGCTCTTGACCCTTGAATCATTGTATATCCTTGGTAAGTGACTTCCATTCTCAATTTTCCTGCCTACAAAATAGAACTTCTGATATCTGGTACTCATGAGTATAGAATGAATTCATGAATACAGAATTACTTTGCATAAAAGATATAGAATTACAAATAACAGGTGAATGTATTTGTTACTTTTGATGGTATCCCATAAATCTCCTAAACTATGTTATGTTAATTCTTCACTTTGTTATATAATATCATTTCATTGACTTGGATTGATTAGGGGAATATTGCTGAAACAATGAAGTCTGAACTTAGACCTCTTTAAAGAAAGAAAATTTATTTAAAATTTCATCGCATAACAAAATATTCCTAAAAGGTTGGACAGACACCTACCCTGAAGTACTAATTGGATCAGCATAAGATTAGCATACTGAGTAACAGCTTAAGCAGGTCAGATGTGGTTGCAGTATATTGTCTGTATGTAAATGGATAGTCTGAATTTCTGTCAAGAGACTAGATTGGAGAAAGTGTCCTTGCTATCCCTTCAGGAATTTATTAATTCCCAGTATAAGTATTAGAAAATTCTGAGCCGGGCTCAGTGACTCAGCCTGTAATCCCGCGCCTTTGGGAGGCTGAGGTGAGTGAATTGCCTGAGCCCGCGGGTTCGAGACCCGCCTGGGCAGCGAGACCTCATCTCTACAATAAATCAACAAATCAGCTGGGTGTGGTAGTGCATGCCTGTAATTCCAGCTACTTGGAAGGCTGAGGCGGAAGGATCGCCGGAGCCCAGCAGGTCGAGGCTGCGGTGGCCGGGAGCGGCCACTGCACTCCAGTCTGGGCGACAGAGTGAGACTCCAACCCCCCCAAAAAAAGAAAGAAAATTCTGCCATTTCCAAATTGATGAAGGTCTGGATGTATGAGATTTTGAACAATGTCTGTGGAAGACTTATGAACCTTACTAAATTGTTCTAATAACAACCAAGAGCTCTGAGTTGTCAACAGGACAATTTTTGCCTAGAGTTAGCATTTACTGCCCAGACTAGGGTAACCTTCTTGTTTTTCCTGTGAAGCCTACCAAGTACCTAGCATCACGGGCACTTCTCCAGCTTTCTTTCTGGGAGAGGCAGCATGATACAATAACTAAATGCACTGTCTTTGAAATCAGAGGGAATGACTAAATCCTGGCTCTCCTACTTTTAAAGTGTGTGACCCTGGGTGGGTTTCTTTATCTTCAAGAATTGTGGTCATTAAATAAGATAGCATCCTCTTCTGCCCTCTCCACCCCTGCCACACGTATGTAAAGTACTTAGCACAATAGAAAACACTCAATAAATGGTAGTTCCTTTTAGCTGTATTATTGTTTTTATTAGTGCCAGTTCTTTCTTGTCTGACTGGCTAGTTGTTACTATTAGGTTGCTAAAGAAGAGATTTGTTTGCTGAAGAAATGAACATGTTTCTCTACGATCCAAGGAAAACTATTTCATAGGTCTTACCATGCTCTGAGATTCAACCTTTGTGACACCTGGAAATTCAGGTGGAAAGACCGTAACGTCCCCACCGAGGAGTGGTATAAAGAGCTCATCACTGAACATGTGCTCTTGTCCTGTCAGTCTTCCCTCTATTTTATGGATCAAGGGCTGCCCTGTTAAATTCTGTACTTCGTTGGAGAAATTGGGGCACTAATGTGATTGTTCACTCTGTGATGCTGAGCTATTTTGAAGTATCCTTTCTCCTAGACTCGAGGCAAGATTGTGAAGTAGTCATTTGTCTCTGTCACTTTCTGTCCTCCCTCCCCCTCATAGCTCCAGTTCTTTTCTTCCCTCTCTTCCTAGTGTTAGTGAATTTCTACTCCATACTGCAGATAAGCTGAAAATGGCTTAAAAGGTTTTCCCCTTCAGGTACTTCTGTGCTGTAGAGAACTCTAAAGAATTAAATCAATGATTCTCTAAGGACAGTGTTTCTGACACTTCGTAGGCCAGTAGGAAAAATAAGTTTGGGCTTGGAGCTGTCCTGGTATCCTTCAGTTCACACTGTCTTCTCAGCTGCAAAAACATTGTGTCATTGAAACAGGAGGAAAATCTATTCCAGCATTTTCCAAGGTGCGTTCCACAGAATGTTATTTTAAATTCATATAACTTGCTCATATGAGAGTGCTTTAAAGTTCCAAGGCGGTATTAAGAATGTAATATTTTTCATCTTATTTGATTATCTTTCTCCTTTTAACTTTTCATAAAGTACCTTTAACACCTGTGTGACATACAACAGCAGTCTCCAACCTTTTTGTTAACAGGGACTGATTTTGTGGAAGACAATTTTTCCACAGACCATGGGGGGGTGGTTTGGGGATGATTCAAGCATATTACATTTATTGTGCACTTTATTTCTATTATTATTACATTGTAATATATAATGAAATAATTATACAACTCACCATAAAAAAGGGGCACAGATGGAAGTAGTAAACAAAATAATAGGACACACAGAATAAAATAAGTGTTGAATTCTGACTTAACGCTTGTTACCAGATGCAGCTGTACAACTGAAGTACATCAACTTACTTGCCACTCACTGATTGAGTTTTGATACGAGTCTGCAAGCAATTGATTTATTATAGTCTCTGGGCAGTCATACCTCACTGCTAATGTTAATCTGAATTTGCAGCTGCTCCCCAGCTCTACCATCTTCAGCTCCACCTCAAATCATCAGGCATTAGATTCTCATAAGGAGCGCAAAACCTAGATCCCTTGCATTTGCAGTTCACAATAGGGTTTGCACTTCTATGAGAATCTAATGCCACTGTTGATCTGACAGGAGGTGGAGCTCAGGCAGTAATGTGAGTGATGGGGAACAACTGTAAATACAGAAGAAGCTTTACTCGCTTGCTTGCCGCTCACCTCCTGCTCTGTGGCCCGGTGCCTAACAGGCCATGAACCAGTAGTGGTCCATGGCCCAGGGGTTGGGAACCCCTGACATAGAATATGTTTCATAAAGCACTAGTAATCTAGTCCAATCCCCTAATTCAATGAGTAAACTGAGACGGGGAGCAATAGATTTGTTCAAGATTACCAATTAAAGTGATTGCAGAATAGGACTAGAGACAAGGTTATCTAACCCCACAACATGGTCAAAATCCCTAATTACATTCACCAGTTTAATGTCTTTCTTCCTGACTAGACTGTTTGTACTGCCCAAGCAGAAATGACTCTTTTGCTCCACACTGTGTCCCAAACACACAGTGGTTAAATCAACACTTCTTAAAATTGAATTGAAATTAATCATGGGGACAGACCTGTGTTGTCTGTTCCTGATAGTCTGGTCCCCACTACAATGCTATGTATGAAGAAGTGAGTTCGTTCTGTACTTACACTGAGAATATGTGGTCCCAGTTCCACTGACACTGAACCTGTTGAGATGCAGCCGGTGTGTGACCACATTCTTCTGGGGTTGGAACAGGATGATGTGCACTTTGGGTGCAAACAGACAGCCCAGGACCACGAAGCCACTCAGGCTGACAGAGATGCACATGGTTGTCGTCTGCACCTATAAGAGAAGGTTGCTTAGTGAATGTCCAGCTGTACATTAAATCTGATGGCCAACTAAAGAGAGCACTGAAACAAGACCAGAATGAAAAACTCAGAATCATCCGTAGTTCTGCTCTTATTATAGCCAAATCAATACAGTAACTATATTGGATCATCTGTGTTTGGGATATTCTTGAAAACATTACTTAAGATACGTAAGAAAACACCATTTGTGTGGGGTGTTCCTGAATGCTTGCCAAGACTTCACATGGATTTTCTTGGTTTGTTTATTTTCTTTATATTTTTATAAAGATATTTCTGTAGAACCACCGAAGTTGGAATCTTAAATAGTAAAACATAGTTATTCAATGATGAAGTGGCCAGATTGCTGATGGTTTCAGTCAATGAACTTGCCTTGTTTAAGGTTTACTGTATCATGAACAAATGTGGTGTTTTGTATTTTTTCATCTTCTTTTCTTGCTGAGAGCTCAGCCTATCAGCTACTGGTTTCTCTATTCGATGCTGGGGGCACTATGACTATTCACAGTATCTGTACTTTTACTTATTTTGTTGGCCTCTCTCTGGAATTTTGATACATCAGTAACTCACTGTTTCATCTTTGTGTTTTCTAGATGTCTCTACATTCATCCTTGACAGAATTTTCACTTCTTTCTCTTTGCTTCTTCTGAAAGTTCCCTCAGAACTAGCACTTATTATGTCTTCTCATTCTCTTGTTCTTACTCTTCATCTCTCTGGCCTCATCACTTGTCCTGGTTTCCCATAGACTTTATGGAAAATTCAAAATTAGAGTCCATATATTTTATCATTTTCAGTACAGAAAAATGGAAATTGTTTTTTCTTCCATAAGTTTTATGAACATTTGCCATAGTACTCAAAGGCTCCTTGGAATCCTAGATTTAGATTTTTTTCCTTCCCTACCAGGCAAATGCTATTACAGAATAGCATAATTCCTAATATACTAAATGATGTTAGGCATCTATGAAACATTTCTAATCAAGGAAAACTGAAGATTAAACAGTTAATGGGAGAATCCACATAACTTTAGAAGACTTCATTTTGTTTTTGATTTTTAAAAAATTCTAGGCTTCACTGTGGCATAATTCTTTAGACTGTTGTTTACTCTAAATGCTGAAAACATAATCCATCCTCACCATTTTACAGTTCTTGTCTCCCTTTACCTAAGTGCTCTCCAACTTCGGGCCCCATCTGCAAGCTCCTTTCCCTTTTGTCAACTTCTCAGGAAGGAGGCTATTAATTCTTTGATGCAAAAGCCTTAAAAAATCTGGTATTATTTGTTTTCTGTATATGTGTAATATGATGTTAAAATTGTACTCTTCCTGCCTCAGTTCCTGTTTCAGATGGTGAAGCCAATGTGAGAGATCTCAGGTATCAGCAGGAATAAAACCAATCCAAATGTGCAAAATTTCAAAGAAACCTTTTCGAAAATCATTTTAACAACTCTTGAAACTCTTCAAACACTTTAAGACATCATATGAAGAGGCAACGAGAGGTTTTTAGGAAGAGGATATCTTGGAAAAAGTTGAACTGTGAGTTCTGTCTCCTCACTGAAAGCCTAGTGAGGTATACTTCAACCTGGCCATTTACAGAAAGTTTGCAGTGTTTCTACAGTAAGAGGATGCCCTAGATTGGTCCCGATTCCTGCCCTGGAAGTCTAGAAGTTGAGAATAGACTAGTTGCTTTAGTGGTATTGCACAGGAACTTGCTACTGTCTTGAAATTGTCCTTGACTCCAAGAATCTATCAAAGCAAAGGATATGTGAGTGGTATGTATGGACAAGATGGGCCACAAAAAAGTCATCAAGGATAACGTTGTGCCTATGTGGAAAATCCTGGAGATTTTCACAGAAAGAGGCTGCAGGGGATAGCTGAATGCCCTGGGAGTGAGTCACACTATTAAAAGTCTGTATCTATAATTCTATGTTCCAACTCTTTGTATATGACCAGTCGATGCTGTTTTTGTCTTCCTCAAATTCTCAGCAATATTTGACATAGTAAATCACTTCCTTCTTTTTGGTTTCCTGGATACGTCCTGTCCTCATTGGTTGTTCCTTGTCTTAGTTATCTCTTTTACCTGAGTTTTTTAAATGCTGGAATATCCCAGACCTCAATTTTTAACTCTCTTCTCTTTACCATTCCATTGAGTTCCATGGCTTAAATATTGATGTCCAAATATTACCTACCCTTTGGGTTTCCAAACTTAAATACTCAGCTCCTACTGACATATTCTTTTGGATCTGAAATAGGCATATCATAACATGTAAGCAAAATTTGATAGGCAAAACGTGGTCCTTTCTCTGAGTTTCCACATTTGAGTAAGTGTTGAATAAGTGACACCAAATGCCACCAATTATACAAGCCAAACACCTGGGAACCATCCTCGATTTTGCCAATGCCCTTATACCCACACATCCAGTTCAACAGCAAGTTTTGCTGGAAGACAATCTCTGATATTATCTTGTAATAAAGGGATCTGACTGCCTTTGTTCCAGAATGTCTTTTCAAGAGCATTTTTTTAATAGCAAATAGCTTTAGAAAATAGAGTTAGTGCCTTCCTCTAGAAGAAAGGGGCAACAAACTCTCCATTATAAAAAATTCATATTCCTTAATCTCAGAGGGGGTCACCTGGCCCACTCTGTGTAGGCCTGTGAGAAGTGACACTCAGGGAACCTGTGCAAATGCTGACACTCTGACTATGAATACTGCTGTGATGACTATGAATACTGCTGTGAGTCATAAATTTCTTTTATGACAAATTCCTTTTTATCAGCATCAATAAAACTGTGTCAGGCTAACTTGTTACTCCCTAAATAGAGTAAAATTACAGACACTACAGTCTTTGATGGTTTTGGCAATGAGGATGGAATGTCAACAGAGACACAGCTTTTTCAGAAGGGAAATATGACAACCTTAGGGTTGACTAGCAGGATTTAAGGGAACTCCACGGGAATTAATGGCAAACACACTGACCAAATTGTATTGTTAACCAGGAGTAAATAGTACTCCACTTTATTGTCTATTAATGAGGTGGATTTGGAGAAGGGGCCAAAAACTGAGTAACAGGAAGTAGGTTTAAAGAGAGCTACTGGACTGATATCCCAATTGCTTCTAACTCTCCTATGGGGGGTAAAATGGGGTAGATTTCCTTCCTAATCAAATTCAGGTCCACCTGATTATAATAATGTACTAGTACTAAAATTTATCCTTAGTGGGCAGAAAGGTCCATTTCCTTTTATACAAAAGTTGTAGAGATATGTACCTATACTGAGCATGGAAAGGGAGACTTTCAGAGAAGGCAGAAACCAGGTGAATCATTTGACGTTTGACTGGTTTCCTTGTGATGTGGAGGAGCCAGGGCACATGTGCTTGCTAAGGAAGAATAGCAACAGGTGGGCCCTCTTAGGGCTTATCTTAGGTTGTATAATCTCTTGCTAAACTTAGAGTCATTCCAAGATGTCGGTGAAATATCTCAGAGTTTTTTGCAGTGGAATCTGGCTACAAGAAAAGGAGATTTGGTCCTCTTGATTAGACTTTCTTGACACGGAGAGACAGAAAAGTTTTCTAGGAACATAGATGAGGCACTGATTAGTATTTGGTCTCTTATTCACCTGAATGTGCTGACAAGTTGCTGCATGAAAGAATGGCGGAAGGATCGCCGGAGCCCAGCAGGTGGAGGCTGCAGTGGCCAGGAGCGGCCACTGCACTCCATTCTGGGCGACAGAGTGAGACTCCAACTCAAAAAAAAAAAAAGAGAAACTGATGCAAAGAACTCTAGATAAATTCTTGCAACCCCCAGCAGCCCTAGTCCTAATGTTAAAACCAGGCAAGGCAAGACCCTGAGAGATACTATCATGATGAGATAGCAAATGCCCTGAATTTAGCTGGATTTCTTAACAAAGAAGTTACTGCTGTATGAGTCAAGGCCAAATTGGCTAAAGTGCATGAGCCATGAGTTCCAGCCAGAAAGCTATAGATTCTGGCTTCTAGGTCAACAAGTAGCCAAAGTTGAAGTGAAGAGTAATAGTAATGATTTTGTTGTCCAATTTAGGTTTTAGGGTGAACAAAAATACTAGACCTTCGTTTGGTTGAGTCATGAGTAGCTGCTGCGTGCTTAAAACTAAAAACAAATTTGCCTTGCGTACTGGCATGTAGCTGCTCTCTCTTTCCATGTTGCCCAATTTCTTCCTCACTCTCTACCCCGATTTTAGCTACTTTAGGGGAAAAAGATGCTTGAGGTTAGAACCAAGGTCTCCCCATCCTTAGGGTTGTTGCAGATTATATGCACCAAACTAGGTTTGCTGAGAAACTTCAGAGAGGGGAGGAACTCAAAATTTTATGTTCTGTTGGTCACAGATGCCCAAATAACCATCCTACTTAGACCTCTTAGGGAGAAAGCAGGACTGGAACTAGAGTTTTGAAGCCAGTGAGGTACTTGCCTCAGATGCAAATACAAGGGAACACCAAAACTCAATAATAAAGATGAATAATATTTTAATGCAATATTTAAAAAAATCAAAATTAACATTAAAACCCACAATGAACACATTACCAACATTTTAAATATGGATAGGATCAGTAATAGTGCTATGCTGTGGTATATTCTATCCTAAGGCAAAAAGTAAAATGAGTAATACTGATCCTGTCTTGAGCACTGCATATGCCGGTGTCTTAGCCCACTTTGCATTGTCTTGTGGAGATCCGGACTCAAGGAACCTACACAAATGCTGATACTCTGGCTACTCCTGTGGTGGTAAGTAATAAAGTCCTTTTCTCTGAATCAGGAGTCTCCTGTCTTCTGACATTCCTGAAATTGTGTCAGGCTAATCTGACAGATTGCAAGTAGGATAAAAATCTCTCACAGTTCTTGACAGGTTCTACCTCTGCTTCTATCTATCTCCATTGTTAAAATCCTACTGTAGCCACCATCAGCTCTGACCAGGTACCAATCTCAACCTTCTAACCAGTCTCTCCACTTGTGCCTTTGCCTTTCTGTCATACAGTTATAAAGTCTTTATAACAGCTTGATTATTCGCCCATAAAATGTGAGATCATAACTCCTCTGCTTAAAAGTCTTTCAGTTGTTTCTTTTGCCATATGGAATAAAATCTAAACTCTTTGTTATGACCTGTAAATTCTTCCATGGTCTAGCTCTATGCCTATCTCTCATATTGAATCACTCTTCCATTTGGTCATTAAGCTGTAGCCATATGCATTTCTTTTCTAGAAATTTTTTGCTTAAGAGTGCTTGTACTTGATGTTTCAACTGCATAGCACACAGAATTTCAATGGCTGGCTGCTTCACATTTGTCAGTGGAGTATTATGAAATAGGTACAAGCAAAGAAGGGGTGATATTTAAAAAAATAATTTGAGAGGTGATTTTTAAAAAAAATATTTGAAATAGTCAACATGGAAAAATAGGAGTTTCTTTGTAAGCATTTAAACTTTGTCAAAACTCTAGAATTGTTTCCACAGTCTCTGCCTACTGTAGGTAAATTGCTTTATCTGCCCCCAATCCCAAAAACAATCCAGAATCATGGCATTTAAAGCTTGATACTTTGTCTAACAGTACCTTCATTCCCTGGGAGCTTGCTAGAAACCCAGATTCTTGGGCCCCATTATTTGTTACTCAATCAGAAGTTCTTTTTTTTTTTGAGTTGGAGTCTCACTGTCGCCCAGACTGGAGTGCAGTGGCCGCTTCCTGCCACCTCAGCCTCGACCTGCTGGGCTCCGGCGATCCTTCTGCCTCAGCCTTCCGAGTAGCTGGAACTACAGGTGCGTGCTACCACGCCTGGCTAATTTTTGATTTATTGTAGACATGAGGTCTCGCCAAATTGTCCAGGTGGGTCTCGAACCCGTGGGCTCAGGCAATCCACTCACCTCAGCCTCCCAAAGGCACGGGATTACAGGCTGAGCCACCGAGCTCAGCTCTTTGGGTACTTTTTTAATGCTGCTGATTCTGTCTGAACCACATGGTTATCCTCTGGGAAATTTCTACAAGGGTCCAAAGTTCAAATGTTTATAGGGTCCATGGTGTTTCAAAGTGAAAAGAACCAGGTAAAAGAATTTGGACAGGTGGGGAGTGGGTGTGAACAAAAGGGGCAAGAATGTTGTCTTGAAAGGTGAGCACTATGTGGTCAATTGTGTGTATGTTTTTCTTTGTTATGAGAAGCAAAGAATCTCAATATTTATATAAAATTTGCCAGTTTTCTAACTTTAACACATTTTTTAAAACAGTGTAGGCCAAACTAAACATATCTGTGGGACAAGAAGAGCATGTGATCCATTAAAACAGTGATTTTCAATCCTGGCTGCAAATTAAAGTCACCTGGGAATCTTTGAAAAATCCATGTCCCGGCCCAGACCAGGCCAATTAAATCACAACCTCTGGGACTGTGCTCCAGCTATCTATATTTTTGTAATGCTACTCAGTTGTTCAACAGGCAGCCAAATTTGAAAACAACTATGTTGGAGATTTTCTTATTTCTTTTGTAAGCCTCAGATGATCTTAGTGTGATTAGATACATGGATCTCAAAAATCTCAGTTCCACAATATCTGCTCCATTTACTTCATGACTTCTGTCATGTGGAGAAACCTCTGGTGGTGTAAGCTAATTCCATTCAGTTAGTTGCTCTACTATATTGCTATAAAGTAAATGTAAAGAAAAAACCTTTTTTGTGTTTTAGAAATAAGTGATAATTCATTTAATAAAATTAAATTTTTATAATTCTATTTATGTTTATTCTTGTAGTTTTTTTTTTTGGTCTGAGTCTCACTCTGTCATCTATCATCTAGGCTAGAGTGCATGACCCAGGTTGGAGTACAGTGGCATGCTCATGGCCACCACAGCCTCAACCAGCTGGACTCTGGTGATCCTTCTGCCTCAGCCTTCCAAGTAGCTAGAACTACAGGTGCATACCACCATGCTTAGTTTATTTTTTTATTATTGTAGAGACAAGGTCTCACCAAGTTGCCCAGGATGGTCCTGAATTGGGATTAGGCAATCCCCTCGCCTCTGCTTCCCAAAGTACTGGGATTACAGGTGAAGTCATGCCTGCCTTCAGTTGTATTTTTTGCCTTACCTTTTTTTTTTTTTTTTAACCACCTCTTTTGAAAATGAACATTTCAAATCACATGTCCAGGACAAAACAACAAATATAAATATTTTACGATCCAATACTCTAAATCATGCCTGCTAAGAGTGGCTTCCCAAAAACTTAAAAAAAAAAAATACTTTGCAGATCTATATAAAAACAAGAGATAGAGCTAGGGCAATTAAAGTGCATTAATTATGGTTCTCCATTTTAACCCCGAAACTCTAAAAGTTCAAACTCCCCTGTGTTGCATATACTTTGCCCTTTGATTTTGCTAATCCAGTTCTGGTATTACCTCTTAAAGATTTTCACTTTTTAAAAATAGGTAGTCTTATTTATTTATTTATTTATTTTTTGAGTTGGAATCTCACTCTGTCGCCCACACTGGAGTGCAGTGGCCGTTCTGGCCACTGCAGCCTCGACCTGCTGGGCTCTGGCGATCCTTCCGCCTCAACCTTCCAAGTAGCTGGAACTACAGGCACTCACTACCACGCTAGGCTCATTTTGATTTATTGTAGAGGTGAGGTCTTGCCAGGTTGCCCAGGCAGGTCTCGAACCCGCGGGCTCAGGCAATTCACTCACCTCAGCCTCCCAAAGGTGCGGGATTACAGGCTGAGCCACCAAGCCCGGCTAAATAGGTAGTCTTAAAATGCCTGACTATTACCCTGACATTGAAATTATGTTCTTCATTTCTATTATTTATCCCTTAATGTAGCCCATAGGTTTTAGTGACATGATTATGAATAATTTAAATAGACTAGATACAATAAGCTTTGCCAGTGTCTTGAACCCATGCTTTAAATAGATTTGTCTTCTTTGTAATGAAATGTACTTATTTTAATTGACAAATAAAAGTTGTATATATTTATCATTTATGACAAGATGGTTTGAGATACATATATACATTGTAGCTAAATTGAGCTAGTTAACACACACGTGCATTACCTCACATACTTACCATTTTTTTGTGGTGAGAACACAGAATCTACGATTTTTAAGAGTACAATGATAGTCACCATGTTGTACAATAGATCTCTTGACTCATTCCTCCTATCTAGTTGGCATTTTACTTCTGTCTTGTCTTCTTTTGGGGTTGTAATTTTTTAGATTTTGGCAAAGTAGAAATTGCTGTTGAACACAAGATTTAGAAATTTCTACAACCTATGAAGGCACTGCATTTTGTGAAATCATGGTGTAGCAAGGAAACTATTATGGTTCTGGAAACATTAATGTATGTTGACTTAAGAAATATAGAGAATAAAAACAAATTTCCTGAAGAGAAAAAGATTCTTAATCTCATTTTAGGATACTAATCTCAGAATTATATGCACAAATAACTGATGAAGGGTTTTAGCAATTTGAAAAATTATGATGAAATGATAAGATTTCTTTCAGAAGAGATGATAATTATATGCAAGCCCAGAAAGTTGATCTATATATTACTATAACTCAGTTAATAACTTGGCTACTTGGATATGTATAGTATAAATTTTAACTAATTCAAGGAATATGTATATATATACACATATATGTACGTATGTACATATAACTAAGCTGTAGAAAAGACTTCATAAATAACATTGTATTTTAACCTGTTTTAGAGAAGTAATGAAGCAGAGTGAAATTATTTCTATCTTTAAACTTACCCTAGCTTAATGTTGCAAGTGTATTTTAATTTTCAGATAGATCTGTGGTAGCCAAGTCCTCTTATGTCTAATTTGAAGTATTCTCATAAGGTTTTTGGTGGTTTACATCTAACTCTATTGTCAATCACTTTATAAATTTTAATTAAAAGTGTTTTTCTTTGCATGTGTGTATGTGTATTACTCTTTTTTTAAACATATTTTTTATTTTAAAATTGTGGGGTACAGTTAAGGGTTAGGTATACAAATATGCATCGTTCAGGCACCCTTGT